CTCTCTCTCTCTCTCTCTCTCTCTCTCTCTCTCTCTCTCTCTCTCTCTCTCTCTCTCTCTCTCTCTCTCTCTCTCTCTCTCTCTCTCTCTCTCTCTCCTCTCTCTCTCTCCTCCTCTCTCTTCCTCTCTTTCGCTCTCGCCCGCCCCTCTCTCTCTCTCCCCTTCTCCCTCTCTCGCTCTCTGCCCTGCACTGGCTGAACATATTATATGTCTGTACCTTCGCTGTTTATTCTTTCACGGCATCATTGATCAATTTCTCGGCTTTGTTCTTTCAACGCTTGAGCGCCGTAATATGCACGTTAGTATACAATTGAAAGAGTTAATTGCGTATACACGGAGGCAGTCGTGTGAAATCAGTAGCACTGAAACAGTATAGCGCGTGCGCGCGTGCGTGCGTGTGCGTGCGTGTGTGTGCGTGGGTGTGTGTGATCCAGTATTTACTAGTTGCTGACCTGTGTTGGGGGAGTTTGCCGTCAGGGTAGGTAGTAAGTCGTATACTGCTGTGTAGTCACATAGTGGTAAGCTAGGGTGCTGGCTTGCACGCTCTCACGTGGCTGTCTGACTGGTGTTGTTGACCCTATAATAGCTGTTTGCTTAATTAACTTTGCTTGAAAAACCAGCATGACCTTTGATTGTAAGAGATTTTTTTCAATCAAAGGTCATGCTGGTTTTTTAAGCAAAGTTAAGTAAGCAAACAGCTATTATAGGGTAAACAACACCAGTCAGTGAGCCACGTGAGAGCGTGCTTCTCCAAGGAGGTTATGTTTTCGCCCCTGTTAGTTTGTTTGTCTGTCAACAGGCTATCTCAAAAAGTTACGGACGGATTTTAATGAATTTTTTTTGGACGGGTTTTGTCTTGGGCCAAGAACCAATCGATTCGATTTTGGTGGATCCAAATCTGGATCCAGGAATCTTTTTAAGAATTTCTCATCATTGATGGTAGTGTAGCGGTTTACTCTCTTATGACCAGCCCGTGACTTTATGTCTGCTGTATTCGCCTGGTGTGTCTAGGGATTTATGATATGTCACCGCCGCGTTAATTCATCAAACTATATTGGGTGTAGCAGCAAGATTAATTATTAGCAGAGCAATAATAACCGGACTATTACGCTGTGGCGGAGGTTTGCTATCTCCGATTGCTCTTGTTTTGCACTACTGCAGTGTCTTTGTGAATTAGTGAGTGAGTGAGGGTGGCGGTGGGGGATTAAGGTTTTTGTCACGTGCCTTGTGAACTTCGGTGTGCATTGGCGGGTTGGCGTGCGTGGCTGCGTGCGTGCGTGCGTGCGTGCGTGCGTGCGTGGCTGCGTGCGTGCGTGCGTGCGTGCGTGCGTGGCTGCGTGCGTGCGTACGTGCGTGCGTGTGCGCCTGCGTGCGTTCATCTATCTTTCTCTCTAATTGCTGTCTCTCTATCTAGATTCTAGCAGTATGTCTGTCTGTCTGTCTGTCTGTTTATCTAATATCTATCTATCTATCTATCTATCTATCTATCTATCTATCTATCTATCTATCTATCTATCTATCTATCTATCTATCTATCTATCTATCTATCTATCTATTATCCAGCTATCTATCTATCTATCTATCTATCCAGTCTATCTATCTATCTATCTATCTATCTATCTATCTATCTATCTATCTATCTATCTATCTATCTATCTATCTATCTATCTATCTATCTATCTATCTATTTATCCAGCTATCTATCTATCTATCTATCTATCCAGCTATCTATCTATCTATCTATCTATCTATCTATCTATCTATCTATCTATCATACCTACATGCGCATACACAAACATTGCGTGCATTCGTCCTTCGCATAAACCGAGCAGCGCATAGTGATTGTATTACGCGCGGTAGGTAGGTAGGTACGCCTGCCTGAATGCTGACCGCTCATGCTCTACTGTCGCTAGCAGCCTGCGGGCGTGCGTACGTGCGCGCATCTACCTGCGTTTGCATGCCCCAGCTTGGGCTGGAACAACTACCACTAACACCACACCACCAGCACCACCACGCCGTCGCCGCCGCAGCCGCCAATACCATAACAACAGCAACAACAGCAACACCAGCGAACAGGCCTCGGCTTTGTAAAGGTTACCAGGCGCGGGACCGGCGAGCCGTGACGTCACCGGCGGCGCGCATGACGTCAGCGGCGGCGGCCCACCCCTGGGTGACCTCTCCAGCGGGCGTTTATTTTTGGCAGACGAAGGTTAACATTCCCCACTAGCTGCTACTGCTGTTGACCTCTGCTGGCTGGCTGGCTGGTTGAGGGGGAGATGGTGAGGGGGAGCGGAGATAGTGTGGGAGACAGACGGGAGGTGGGGAGTGTGGCAGAATGGGAGAGAGACGGGAGGGGGGAGTGTGGCTGAATGGGAGAGAGACGGAGGGGGGAGTGTGGCTGAATGGGAGAGAGGAAGTGAGCGAGGGAGAGTAGAGCAGAGCGAGGGGAGAGAGGAGAGAGAGAAAATGAGAGGGGAGAGAGTGAAGGAGAGAGATGAGAGCGANGTGTGTGTGTGTGTGTGTGTGTGTGTGTGTGTGTGTGTGTGTGTGTGCGTGCGTGCGTGTGTATGTGTGTGTGTGTATGTCTCCACACTGCTATCTAGCAGCTAGCTATACAATGCCACACACACGCCTGTTTTACAGCGTGTTATACAGTGTTTTATATATAGTCGTGCGCATGAGAACGTAAACACACCACACACGCACGCACGCCCACACACACGCACACACACACAAACGCACGCACGCACGCACGCACGCACGCACACACACACGCACGCACGCACACGCACATACACACACACACACAAACATAGACACACGCACGCACGCACGCACGCACGCACACACACA